GACCCATGTTATCAATGACAGCTGACAAAGCATGTCAGAGATACAAACCCAACCAGTAAAGTCTAGAGACAGCCAAATTCAGATCAAAACATTGGCTTTTTTAAAATTAAAATTGCAGGCAGCTTGTACCAATGTAGTAGGAGTAGACTTCTCCTTGAACCTGTTCTGCCATTCTAGACCATGGTCAATCACCCAACTTAATACCATTTTTCCATGCTCTCCCTATATCCTCTGATGTCAATATTACTTATAAATCCTTGATCTCAGAGTAGAACATACTCAACAACTGAGCTGCCACAGCCCTTCAGGATAGAGAATTCCAAAGATTCACTAGACTCAGACCGAAGAAATTCCTCCTTACCTTAGTTCTAAATAGCTCGCCCTTTATTCTAAGTCTATGCCCTGGTTCTAGAACCCCTCAGCCATGGGAAACATCTTTTTCAATTTCTATCATATCTGGGCATTTAAGAATTTTTGTAGGAATAAAAGTTATTACACAATCTCACAACATCAGTAACTTACTGAAATACTATATTAAGTTGTACATAGAAACCAGCCAAAATGACTTTACTTGTTTTCAAACTAATAATACCATTGCCACACAGGGATAAAATAGAAATCTAACACTCAATTAACAGGTTAACTTGCTATTACTTAACAACAAGTTACCATTCCAGATGCGTGATGCCAGATATGAATTCAAGGATTCAAATGAATAACAACTTTGTATTTCCAAAGCATCTTTAAAACTAAACAAAATCATTCACAGGCACGTAATCAGGGGCCAGTAATCAATCATATTGATGGAGGAATGAGACATGATTCAAACTGGTTGAGATCAGATTTATGGAGGGTCTGAAATGAGAAACAGCCTAGAGAGCGGAAGTCAAGGTGAATCTGAAGTTAATAAAAATCAAGGATTCACATTTCAGCTGCAAACATACTGAGGCAAGGCTAGAAATGAATAGTGGAGAGGATATAGTGTTGTAAGCTCAGTGTATGGTCAGTTAAGACACTGAAGTTGCAAACAGTCAGCACAGTACAACAGCCAGGGACAGAAATGAAATTGGTGGCAAAGGAACAGACTTGCAACCAAAGACAATAGCTTCATTTTTTCTAATTTTGATTTGGTGTACATTGCAGCTATTCCAGAACTAGATATTGGAGGCACAGTTTAATAACACAAAGACTTGAGTAGGAAAGAGGTGTAATGTAAAATTTGGCATTGTCAGCATACATGTGGAATCTGATGAAGTTTTCATTTGTTTCATTAAAGTAAGACATTAGAGTAGAAATAGGAGGGTTTAAAAATATTTCCAGAGTTCCTCAAGGTTGTAAATGTAAAAAGGTTTTCTACTTTTCCACAAATAATGATTATTAATTGTTTCCACTTTTTTTGTAATTAGATTATTTTTAACCATGTTTTAAGGTTTAATTTTTAATGATCAAAGAATATCACAATGCAACTGAATTCTGACAAGTTACATCATTACTGAATAGTGCAGAACGAGTACCATTAGGCCTAAATTAAGTGACAATCATAAGAAAGACTACACAAACAAGCAAAGCAATAGAGATTCTTTTTAAATTAAGTATTATAGGAAAGTAAGTGCCATTAGATTAAGCACCTCTTTGAGAATGCTGAATAATTAAAATAGTCTTGTTTCATCCTTTGTTCCAAATAATATGCTGCAACAAACATCTATTCTTCATACAACTGTAATTAGCTACTATATAATAAAGCCACAAATGCAATGGAGCAGGTAAACTTCTAACTTTGCTACTGGATTTAATTCATTTGTCATACCTCAAATTGTGGCCAGTTCATGGGCATTCCTGGACCATGTGCACATCTGAACCATTTAAGATCTTCCTTGGCATCTGCTGACTTAACAGACCGTTCCAGCTCTTCATATATAGTGCTATAACTTTGAAAATGAAAGAAAAAGCTTAAATGTGTATGAAGAATGGATACCCATTGAGTTTGCACAATTATTAAAAATAAAATAGTGTTATTTTAGCCATACGCATCCAAAACTACTGCTATATTTGTGTGAATTTTGACTTCCCATCCATGGGCATCCCCTATCCCCATCCTACATACACACAGTACGGTTTTAAGAGGACATAAATCAAAATGTATTTGTGAAAACTACTTTTGTAACAGAATACTGAAGAATTAGCAAACATTTTTTCGTCAAGTATGTCCAAGAAAGTTTCCTAAGTCAATACGTAGACAGCCCTACTCGAAAAGGTGCAACACTGGACCTCCTCTTAGGAATCGAGGTCGGGCAAGTGACTAAAGTGTCAGATAGAGAGCACTTTGGGTCCAGTGACCATAACTCTCTTAGTTTTAACATAGTTATGGAAAAAGATAGGACAGGTTCTCAGGTTTTAAGGTGTTGAACTGGAGCAGGGCAAATGCTGGGGCCATTAGGCAGGATCTAGCAGAGGTCGATTGGGTGAATCTGTTTAAGGGAAAAGGAACGACTGGCCAATGGAAGGCCTTTAAAAGTGTGATATCAAGAATGGTGCATATACGCAATCATACAATAATACAGCATGGAAACTGGCCCTTCAGCCCAAACTGGTCCATGCTGACCATGGTGCCCCTCAGCTAGTTCCAACTACCTGTATTTGGTCCATTTCACACTAAACTCTTCCCAGCTATGTACTTATCCAAATGTTTTTTAAATGTTGCTATTGTACCTGCCTCAACCACTTTCCGTGGCAGCCCACTCCATATACACACGATTCTCTGCGTGAAGAAGTTGCCCGTCAGGTCCTTCTTAAATCTTTCCCCTTTCACTTTAAACCTATGCCCTCTAGTTTTCAATTCCCTATCCCTGGGAAAGAAAGACTATATGCATTCATCCTATCCATGCCTCTCATGATTTAATACATCTCAATAAGGTCACCCCTCATTATCCTACGTTCCAAGGAATAATAAAGTCTATCCTGCTAACCTCTCCCTGTAACTCAGTCCTATTACTCCTGGCAACATCCTCGTAAATCTTCTTTGCACACACTTTCCAGTTCAACTTGGTCTTTCCTATAACAGGGTGACCAAAACTATATACAGGACTCCAAATATGGCCTCACCAATGACGCATACAAATGTAACATAACGTCCCAACTCCTATACTCAATGCCTCGACCAATGAAGGCCAGAATGCTAAATGTCTTCTTCACCACCCTGTCCACCTATGATACTTTCAACGAGATGTGGAAATGTGGAGATTTAGATGTGTAAGCTTTAGAGAGGGTGCAGAGGAAATTTACCAGGATGTTGCCTGGACTGGAGGGCAGGTCTTATGAGGAAAGGTTGAGGGGGCTAGGGCTTTTTTCATTGGAGCAAAGACGGATGAGAGGTGATTTGATAGAGGTGTACAAGATGATGAGAGGCACAGAAAGAGTGGATAGTCACAGACTTTTTCCCAGGGCGGAAATGACGATTATGAGGGGGCATAATTTTAAGATGATTGGAGGAAGGTATAGGGGAGATGTCAGAGGTAGGTTCTTTGCACAGAGAGTGGTGGGCATGTGGAATGCTCTGCTGGCAGTGGTAGTGGAGTCAGATACTTTAGAGATTTTTAAGCGACTCTTGGATAGGCAGATGGAGGACAGTAAAATGTAGGGTATGCAGGGTAGATTGATCTTAGTAGGATAATAGGTCGGCCCAACATCGTGGGCCGAAGGACTTGTACTGCGCTGTTCTATGTTCTATGAACTATGTACTTGTATTCCCAGGTCTCTCTGTTCCACAACATTCCTACCTTGGTTTGACTTTTCAAGTGCAACATCTCACACTTATTATATTGAATTGCATTTGCCAATTCTCAGCCCATTTCCTTATCTGATCAAGATCCCTTTGTAATTTTTAATAACATTCCTCACTATCAACAATACCTCCTAATTTTGTATTACCCGCAAACTTACTAATCATGCCTTGTACATTCACCTCCAGATCATTTATGTAAATAACAAATAACAAATATGGAATGGGCTGCCAGAGAAAGTGGTTGAGGCAGGTAAACTAGCAACATTTAAAAAACATTTGGATAGGTGGCTCAATGGGTAGTACTGCTGCCTCACAGCGCCAGGAACCCGGGTTCAATTACACCCTCAGGTGACTGTCTGTGCATGTTCTCCCCGTGTCTGCGTGGGTTTTCTGCATGGGTTTCCTCACACAGTCCAAAGATGTGCAAGCTAGGTGGATTGGCCAGGCTAAATTGACCATAGTGTTCAGGGCACGTGTAGATTAGGTGGTCTGAGGGTCGGTGTGGACTTGTTGGGCCAAAGGTCCTGATTCCACACTGTAGGGATTCTATGGGAAGGGAAGGGTTAAGAGAGATACGGACCAAATGCGGGCAATTGGAATTAGCTGAGTGGGTACCATGGTCAGCATGGGCCAGTTTGGGCCGAAGGACCTGTTTCCATGCTGTATTTCTCTATGACTCTAACGCAAGCTGTGGTCAATTTCAAAACACGCTTACAGACAAGACTAATGTAGCAAGAAAGTAAATCCTTTCAGATGTTAGGAACCAGACTAAGAAGTAGGACCACAAATATAATAATCTCAGGAGTACTAGTACAGTCACATACTGGACAGTGCAGAAACAATTAGTCTAGAGAGACAAATATAAGTATACTTTTAGTAGTCCATTATTTTGGCTGACACCCCAGTTCAATTGTGAGTTACCACTGCACTGTCAAAGATGCTACCTCTTGGATAACGTATCCAAGTACTTATCTGTACACTCAAGGTGGAAATGAAAGGACTAGGCACTATCTGAAGACAAATAGGACAAGTAATAATTGGGTTACTTAGCAACCCAACTATCAAAGTTACAAAAAAATTGTTTTGTTTGTCACTTATCGAATTGTTTGTTGGATCTGGTAATAAAGAAGATTTCCTTATACTGCTGTGATTATTCTTAAAAAGAGAACTTCATTGGCTCCACAGTGTTCTGGGACATCTTGAGGTTGTGGAAGGCACTAAATATATGAATGAAAATGTTTCTTCTGTATGTTTTAGCAGTCATTTAAAATGCCTAACACAAGTTTAATCTGGAGTTACTATAAATAGTATAACTATGTAGTGGTTAAATTCCACACACTTCACATATTACTTATTATACAATATTACATTACTGTACTTTACCTGGTCGTAGAAAGGTCAAGATGTTGCTTCACCTCCAAAAGAACCTCTTGAAAAAAATCTAGTCGTTTGTTTTCAAACTGCTGACACTGTTCAAAAACTTGTTCCATGTTTTCAATATATTGTGGTGTGGACTTGTTCAATTCATCTAGATTTTTCTCATACTTTTCCTTTGTCTAGAATGCAAAACAACCTTTTTTTGTGAAATCCACAGTAGCAAATGCATCATACTTCAATTAGTATGATCCATGAAGTACAAGAGCAGGACTAAATGTAACGGCTAGCCTGCAATATTCTAATATGCAATCTCTATTTCAACTGTAAGAAACATAACACTGTCTTAAAACTGTGTTTGTGTACAGCATTTAACAGCATGACAAAAAATAATAGATGATGATCTTCATTATTACCTAAATAGAACCATGCAATCTTGCGTACGGAAACAAAACATCATGTTTCCAAAAATCTGAAATAAAAACAAGTTCTGGAGAAATTCAGCAAGTCTGTTGAGATAGAAATGGAGTTCAGTTCAAGACTGACAACTTTTCTTTGGAACTGATCCTATAGCTCTCTTTCAGAGGCATTCTTGCCAGTGTTATTACAGGCAGGTATAATTGTAACAGCGTTGATTCATACGGCCAAAATTAGATTTATTAGCTATCTGATGCAAGTCACGGTAAGTGTGCTGAAACACTTTTATTATTAGATATTAAAAAAGACCTCAATTCAATCAGAATTTTTGGCTCTTTCAACAAAAAGGTGGGTGTGAGTGTTATGTAGACTAAGCAGAGGTTTTCTTGGGCTTTGCCTGACTTGTGACTTCATGGAATTACTCACTAAGTTCAAGAACTCCTAGAATCAAGGCTGCCTGAATATATATTACTGTGTCCCAACCTAAGATGAGACTCTTCTGCTTCACAGGGGACAATTCCACAGATAGCGATGGAGAGATCTGGGTCAGGTTGATGCTTGACTCGTTTGTGGAACAGTTCATCTAATTTGGTCACCTGCATTATTATGCTATTAAGGAGGACTCTGCAGAATCAACTGGGCTGGAGCTGTCCGTAGCTAATGCTTATCTAACATCTGGGTCACATTAAGTGACTGATAGTTTCATTACAATAGTGTCTTACAGTGATTTTTATTAATGGAATGGCTTGCAGAATCCCTCAAAGTCAGCTATACATTATGAATCTGCAGTCGGAGTTGTACAGCAGAGAAACAGACCCTTCGGTCTAACTCATCCATGCCAACCTGATAGCCTAAAAATTAAACTATAGACCTATTAGTGATGACCGTTTTCCTTCTCTAAAGGAAAATAATAAATGAGGTGGGCTCAGAAAACAACTTTTCTTACTGCTAGCCAATAAATTATCAAAATTATTGAAATCAATTTCATACCATATGAATTAATGCCTGTGTAAAAAATATGTTCAAATTGCAGCAAGAGAATGCTAATGTCTTCTTGCACTCTTATGCGCACTATTTTACAAAGGACCCATTGCCCAAATATCAATTAATTGTATGACTGAGCTTCCTGACACAATGTTGATCCTGATTCAACACTGATCACAAACTATTTAAACAATTTGGATGTGAAGACCAATTGTAATATTTCCAAATTTGCTATTGACAAATCCTGGTGGGAACACAGGAGTAAGTGTGGTCAAAAACAAGAGTGTGAAAATCAGTGCTTGAAAACAATAAAGGTCTAAAAGTATTTTGTGATGAGGAACAATGAAATTATAACACTTTCATGATCTAAAATGAATAGAAATGCTTGCAGACCATTTCAAATAGATCAAATTATTAGACTTCAAGTAGGTAGCAACATTAATTTAACCTTGGTGTTTGTTCTACTACTGTCAAGATTGTGGACCAGTGTATCTGCATCAAATCACCAAAGTGAATACTGCATTTCAAATGATCAAATGCAAAGTGGTAATACTGTAGGTTAGTTAGATTCAGTCACTTGGTGGAACAGAATTTGAGCATCACTGAAAGAGAGATATGCTGTTGAATCTTTTCACCTTGTAACCTCAGGATAGATGCAAGACTGCCACATTTCAAAGGGAACCATCATTTATACTGAATGTGAAACGTGGTGTTGATTGGTTAGCAGATAGACTCAGTTTGGTTGAGGCATGGATTTCACCAGGAAACATTGTTTAAATGAATAGGCACAATGCCTGACCAGATTTGTTTTGTCTACACAGAACAATGCCCTGCAGGTGAATACATGTAGCTTCTAGCAAGGCTAGGTAAGTCATATTGAAAGCCAGGCTGCTCATCTTAAATCGGTTGTGAATGGTCTAATCTTGAAACACATGGGATTGCATAGCACGTGTTGACCCCCAATTACAATAAGATCTAATGTTCAGAGATTTACAGGATGGTTGAGTACGGCCATCACTTTGATTGTTATGAACAGCTAACGGGAGACGACGACAAGATGGAAAGCTTTGATACCATGTGCAGTACTATGAAGTATGTAATTAAAGTTTGTGTATTATAAGTTGTTGTAGAATTCTCTTCCTTAGAAAACAGAGGTGACTGACTCACTGATTATTTTTCCCCCAAGGATGAATTAGAGAAGATTTTTGATAGATAAAGGAGTCTAGGATTATGTTGTGTCAAATAAGAAGGTGAATTTGAAACCACAACCAAATCAGCCACAATCTGATCAAATGGTGGAGCAAGCTTCAGGGGTTAAGTTGCTTACTCCGCTCCTATATCAAGATATAATAATACATCATACAAATACTTAGTAAAAATATTATTTTATATACTCTTAAGACTTAATCTCTCTCTCCATTTTCCCTGCTTAGGGAAGATCCTCCACAACATTCTGATTAGACACTCTTCTCTCATTTGTGATGAAGTTGTGTAAAGTAATCGTGAACTGAAAGGCAGGAAGCTAGAATTTGTTTGTAAAAAATTATGTGGGAAAAGAGTGTGTGGTTCCTTTAAGAGATAAAGTGCTTTTCTAAGCTTAGAGATTTATACAGGGGGAGAAAATGTCTCTGTATGTAGCTGAAGATGTACAGCCAGTTGTAAAATTGAAACGCGTAGCTAGTGAAGGAAATCTTAACCCATTATGGATTACTCTGGGAAATTCAGTCAGACCAAGGGTCCTATTTTACTGCCATACTATTTAGAGGTGGTCATGGATAGTTTAGGCATCCAACACTTTAAATCAAGTGCATACCATCCTGAATCCCAGGGAGCACTGGAAAGATGGCATCAGACCCTAAAGAACATGCTGAGGGCTTATTGCCAGGATTACCCAAATGATTGGGTTAAAGGTAATCCCATTTATATTGTTTGCCTTTAGAGATGCCCCAAATGAATTGACTCAGTTTACACCATTTGAGTTGCTATTCAGACATGAAGTAAGACGGCCTTTAAAATTAATTAAAGGAAAGTTGGTAGGTCTGAATTCACAGTTGGATTAAGTATCTGAGGCGAGAGAAAGATGAAACAGAGTAGGTGAATTAGTGAGACAACAACTGACGGTGGCACAGCATCTAATGAAGCAAGAAGCAGATAAGAAATCTAAAATTTGTACGTTTGCCCATGGGGATAAAGTATTGGTGCTGTTACCAGTGGTAGGAGATCCCTTCAAAGCAAGGTTTAGTAGTCCTTATCAGATCGAGAAGAAGTTGAGTCGGGTGAATTATCTGGTAAAGATACCAAATAGGCAAAAACTTTATAGGATATATGATGTGAATATGCTGAGACGGACAGGGAACAGGAGAAACAGGTATTAGTTACTGCCCCTCAGAGTGAGGAATCAAATCCAGGTGAGTTGTGGGATTGACTAATTGTGCCGTCTATATTGATGACTTAGTGATCTTTAGCCATTCATGGAAAGATCACATGGTGCAATTTTTGGGACTGAGCAGATTCCACCGGAACTTTGTAGCAGACTTTAGTAGCCTGGTGGCACTGCTGATGGATTTGCTGAAAAAGAACACAAAATTTTGGTGAACAGAATAATGCTCGGAGGTATTTGAGAATTGAAAAGCTGTGTTAACCACCACACCAGTTTTAGCACCAGAAATTTCTTCAAAACCTTTAAGGTCGCTGTTGACACCAGCGATGTAGGGCTTGGAACTATATTGATGCAGAAGGATGATAGCGGAATTGAAAGGCCAACTGGTTATTTTTCAAAGAAACTCAATATCCATCTGAGAAAATACTTTACATTGAAAAAGAGTTGTTGAGTTCGGTACTGGCCTTACAACATTTTCATGTTTATGTTACAAACAATGTTTCGGAGACAGCTGTGTATACAGACCACAACCCTCTCACCTCTTTGGAAAGATTTAAGGACAAGAATACAAGACTATTTCATTGGAGTCTTATGTTACAGGCTTTTAATTTACAGATTGTACATGTTGCGGGTTGTAAAAATGTTATTGCAGATGCATTATCGCGGGTTTAAAATAAAATCTGTAGATAAGATATAACCAATACAGTCCAATGTTATATATGTATGCAGAATTAGTATGAAACATATAACTTTAGATTACTGACCTATGTATCTCATGCTAATGGTGTTTAGATTAAAAAAAAAGCCATCTTTTCATAATGATGGTTCAATTTTTCTTGGCGGGAGGTCTTATGAAGTTGTGTAGAGTAACCGTGAATTGGAAGGCAGGAAGCTAGAATTTTTGTAAAAAGATGATAAGGGAATGTGTGGCCCTTTTTTAGAGGTAAAGTGCTTTTCTATGCTTAGATATTTATACAGGGGAAAAAATGTGTCTGTATGTAGCTGAAGATTTACAGCCAGTTCTAAAATTGAAACATGTATCAATTAGCTGTGTGACTGGAAACTTTAGGCTTGTTTTGATATTTTGGCAATTGGCTGGAATCAGCCAATTAATTTAAACCAAGCACCTAGTGATTGAAAGCCAAATGAATTTAAATCTGAAGATTTTGATAACCTCAGACCAATGCTATTGTTAAGAAAATTGATAGGTCATCCAAAGTATATAAAGAGAAGGTTTTTCAAAATCGGTGTGAGAGCGAAACACCATCTGAGAAATAAGCATCTAGCTCTCACAAGGAATCGCTAAGCTCTCTAAGAAAGTACCATCTATCCATAAAAGATACCACAGCACTTCTAGCACTTGAGTCCTCATTGAAGAATTCACAGAGAAACATCCCTGACAGCAGGATCAGCAGAAAAAAGGCATTTATGACTGGAGACAGAATGGAGAAGGCACAGCATTCCAGAAGACACATTCTGTGTGGACTTTGAGAGACTAAGTTTTATTTTTTTTTGTTCTTATTACTTGGATTATACAAGTGGGACTTGTGTTTATTGGAACTGCACACCAGCAGAATTTTGTTCAGTTATGGAATAGTTAGGAGTTGGGGGGAATTGATTGGTTTGTTAGTAGTTCTGTAATTTGCTCACTGTTAGGGTTAAATAAATAAACTGTCACTTGTTGTTTGTAAAGTGAATATCTGGGATTTTCTTTCATTTAACCTCCTCTTCTCCGTAACACATTACAAACTATACTTTTCTCCTTCCTTTCTTCATTCAGGGAACATGGGCACTGCTGGACAGGCCAGCATTTATTATGATTTATTAAGTGCCATTATGAATATGGCTACAGTCCATTTGGTGTAGGCACATCAAGAAAGCCAACAGGGAAGGAGTTCCAGGATTTTGATCTAGGGACGGTATACCTCCAACTCAGCTTGTCTAGTGGCTTGGAGATGAAATTACAGGTGGTGGTGTCCCAACTACCTGCTTCCTTGTCTTTCTAGAAGGTAGTGGTTGTGGGTTTGAAGGTGTAGTTGAATGAGATGGTATAAACTGCTGCCGTGTCTTGGTGATAGAGGAAATGAATGACTGTGGTGCCAATCAAGTGTGCTTTGTTCTGGATGGCTGTTCAACTTCTTGAGTGGTGTTGGAACTGCATGTATCCATGAAAGTGGGAAGAATTACATCACATTCCTCACTTCTGATATGTAGCTGACATGGCCGACCTTCAACAACCACATCCATCTTCCTTTGTACTAAGTATGGCTCCAACAGCTCCCCCTCACCAATTCCCTTTGATTCTAGTTTTGCTACGGCTCCTTTATGCCACGTTCAGTCACATGTGGTCTTGATGTCAAGGGCAGTCAATCTCAACCCAGTTTTGAAATTCAGCTTTTTAATCCATGTTTGAACCAAGGTTCTAATAATAGTAGCAGCCAAGTGGCCCTGGTGAAATCAAACTGAGCAATCAGTAAGCAGGTTATTGCTAAACAAGTGCTACATGACAACACTTAACAGCTCTTTCCATCACTTTACTGACAATCAAGAGTAGACTCATAAGCAATAATTCACTGGGTTGGATTTGTCCTACTGTGTGTGTATAGGACACGCCCGGGTAATTATCCACATTGTTGGGTGGATGACAATTTGGCTGGAGGTGTGGAAGTATAGTAACCCAAGTTTTCAGTGCTATTGCCAGACTGTTGTCAGGGCCATAGCATTTGTAGTATCCAGTGCCTTCAGCTGTTTCTTGATATCGTGGAGTGAATCAAATTGGCTGAAAACCAGAAGTCCTGGAGAAACTCAGCAGATCTAATCTGTGGAGAGCGGAAAACAGAGTTATAGTTTTGAGTCTGATATGATTCTTTTGAAAATGGGCACTTGTCATGCTGGGGCCCTACTCAGCACTTATGGCTAAAGATTGTTGTAAATGCTTCAGCCTTATAGTTTGCACTTGGCTACCCCATCATTGACAATAAAGATATTTGTGGAGCCTCCTCCTCCTCCTCCAGTGAGTTGTTCAATTAACAATCATCATTCACAACTGGGCAGAGCTTAGAGCTCCTCCACTGGAATTGCTCATCCCTGTCTATCACTTGCTACTTATACTGTTGGGCATACAAGTAGTCTTGTCTTGTAGCTTCATCAGGTTGGCAACTCAATTTTAGGGACACCTGGTCCTACTCCTGGTTCAATGGTAAAGGTAGAGAGGGGATATGCTGAGCTATGAAGTTGCAAACTGTGGTGATGACCTCCTGCTGATGGCCCACAGTACCTCAGGCATGCCCACTCTTAAGTTGGCATCTGTTTGAAATCTATCAAATTTAGCACAGTTGTAGTACTATAACATGTAATGGACAATATTCTCAAAGTGAAGATGGGACTTCATCTCTAAAGGCTATGCAATGGATAGACAAATCTTTGGCAGGCAGATTGGAGGGATGAGGTCAAGTTTTGGTTCCCTCACTATGTGCCACAGGCTCAGACTAGCAACTGTGCTCTTCAGGCATCAACGAGTAGTTAGTAGTGCATCTGAGCCACTCTTGGTGATATTCACTGAAGTCCCTCACACAGAATACATTTATTGTCTTTGCTACCCTCAGTGTGTTCTTTCCAAGTGGTGCTGAACATGAAGAAGTAGCTAAGGTGTGGGTGTAATGTGGTATTCAGCATAAAGTTTCCTTGACTGGGTTTCACTCGAGGCCAACAGACTTCAAGAGGTCCAGGGTCAATGTTGTGGACTCAAAGTAAATCACTCCTGCCTGTATACCATTGTGCCATTGCCACCTCTGCTGGGTCTATCCAGCTTATGGAATTGGATATATCCAGGGATGGTGTTACACGCACCATTGTCTGTAAGGTCTGATTCTAAGAGCATGATTATGTCAGGCTGACTAACCTGTGGGGCAGCGTTCCCAATTTTGGCATAAAAGCCCACAACTGGTAAGTAGAACTTGCAAGGTTGACTGGGCTGAGTTTCCCATCATCTAGATCGAAGTAAAATGTCCACTTGGTTTCATACCTTTCAGAAATTTTTACTGATTTTGTAACAACTTATTAGGCTATTTCCAATCAAGGGTCAACCACATTTCAATTCAATTAAAAAAAACTTGGAATTAAAAGTCTGATGATGACCATCAAACTATTGTCAACTTTTGTAAAAACCCATTTGGTTCATTACTATGGGTCTGGAATCACATACAAACTAGGCCAGGTAGAAACAGTAGATCTAAGAACCAAATGATGTAACATATTTGTGTAAGTATGGTGGACTGTTACTTTAAGAGTCCGATCATGATGTAACAATGATGTAATTGGTCATTTTGTAGGGATAAACAGAGTTTCTCTAACTTTGCTTTGACCTTTGGTTGTATAAAGTACTGGTCTAGAGTTGCAACATTGGCTCAGTGGTTAGCTCTGTTGCCTTGCAGAGCCAGGGACCTGGGTTCGATTCTAGACTCAGGCAACTGTCTGTGTGGGTTTGCACCAGATGCTCTGGTTTCCTCACACAGTCCAAAGATGTGAAAGATAGGTGGATTGGCCTTGCTAAATTGTCCGTAGTGACTAGGGATGTGCATATCAGAAGCAGTTGAGTCACATTATGCTACAATCCTCAAGAACTGTTGTATCACTTTTAACGTTCAGTTATGTGGTCAGTATGAAGATTTGTCTTTGCATGTTACCAATGGAAATTTTGCAGCTTTGTTGAAAAGAAAGTGATTGGAGAAAATCAAACTCAACTAGGCTGAAGTAAAGCACTTGTCAGATTCTGAGATTGATCTATCACTATTTCTAAAGCAGCAGGTCATTGTTTTCGATGAGGATCTGGGAAGCATGGAAAAGATACCTGTCAAACTGAAAATCAAGGATGAGAATCAAGCAAAATCTTGCAAGGATAGATGACTGCCTTATGCAATCAGACCAAAGGTTGAGGCAAGGTTAGACAGCCTGTTTATCTCTCCAAATGACCACTGACATCATTATAGTACATGATTGGTCTCAAAGTGACAGTCTATCATATTTCTACAAACACACAACTAATTTTTTTAAAAACAATTGTCAATATTTTCGTTCCAGATTTTGTTTGTACTGAATTCAAAATCTGCTGTATGGAGATTCTAAGCATTCAGAGCAATACCTGGGTCTGCAATGAAAATGCCATTATGCTTCCACCACCTTCTCAAACCTCTTGTGCCCCAATCACTCCAAAGACCTTCTTGTAAATCCCAGATCTATCCTATCACTCAGCAATACTTCATCTCAAACCCTTACCTCACTGAATGTCTGAACCCTGGGTTCCAGTGCTCCACCTGTCCATGACACAGGTTTGAGTACTGCTGGTCCAACCTGCACAGCTCCGCTATTCTCCATAAATTCACAAAGAACAACCTGGGCTATGCAGTCCCAATTGTATTCCCTTACCTGCCGAATGCTGCAAAGAAGAATCGGGCTCAAGTGCTCGCCATTATTGGCCAAGACCCCTGGTGGGATGACGAGCAATTCCCGAGATTGCTACCTACTTCATTACTGGCAAGGATTTTCCAGACTGTGAGAGTTTCTCCTTCCATAGCCAAAGGGAATGGAAGTCAGAAAAAAAATTAAAAGCGTAGAATTTCATTATCCAAAAGTTGCAGTTCTGCCAAAATGGTAGAAGTTTTCAATCCCTGGTGACTCAATCCTGAAAGATTATTGTTGCTGCTTTGCCGTCAGAGTAAATTGTCACTTGAGTACATCTTAAATTTCAAAATATATATTATCCTGCAATATCGTATACCCATCCATGACATAGCAGCATAATCTAGGAAACTGAAGAGGTTGCACATTCTATTGTGTTATCCATTTTGTCATCATGGGATTGTTTCAGAACATGTACTACCTTTTGAACATCCTGCTTAGACTTCTCTACTTTATCCTGCACTTTCTTCAGTTGTTCCGGATTTGCATTTGAATCAGCCTTGCAGTTTGATTCTCTGGATATTGCTATTTTCTCTTCTTTACAAGCTACATGATAGGCCTTCTTGGCAGCTTCCACCTCAAAAAAGCAGAACAAAAAGAAGTTGTTTCATTAATAACTAATTAAACATTTTAAAAAAAACAACTTTATGAGGTATGGCTCCTCAATTACCAAATGTAAATAGATGAGCCATAAAAAGATGCATTTGGCAAACATCAGTTCATAAATTGTAGCACTGATCAAATTATGTCTGACAATGAATAAAACTATGGCAACCACTTTTTATATATCATATGTTTTAAGGAATTCTCAAATGGTTTTCTTTTACAAGCTACAATGAGAATTATATTGAAAACACAGCACAGAAATAAGGGTCATCTTCCAATCTATTTACTTCATCTCATCCTATTTTGGTTTGTGAAACATTCCCTTTTAAGGAATTTTTCCCCTCCATTTTAGGGTGCATCCATACGATAAGCTCTAGTATCGGTGCAATGTGGTTTCACTTTGTACAGAAACTGCATTTAAAGCTTAATTTAAGTCAACACCAAATCTGACATTGGAGGAGCACACGAGTCCTGTTGTTCGGTTCTCTTTCAGTCAGTTGTGATCTGGTAAACAGTGGATTCAGTTTTCTTCCCCTAAACTTGTAGAGCACGATTGCATGATAGCTTTCCCTCACCTCTTCTAGCCAAAACTATGAACAGGAAACTTGCTGGGTAGTTCTCTTTCTTAAATTTTAATCTAACTTAAAAACAGTGTCACCTGGAGGTAAATCAAATGATTCTTACTCTGTAACCAGACTGGAGCAGAACAATCTTTGGATTTCTCTCCTTTTTGGCCTTCGCTTAGAATCTAGAAACTCACTTTGAATGGGTTGCTCAGAACGTAACTCTAAAGATTTATATAATGCTAACATTTACCAGCCTAATTTTGACACATCATCTGTCATTCCGTACCTCCTTCAATTTTTTGGCCCAAGGTTTCTGTGCTTTACGGAATCCATCCTCTGCCTCCTTTGTTTCTTTGAAGTTTGCCATCATTTGCTTGTGGTACGCTTCCTTCTGCCAATTCTTGACTTTTTCAAAGTCTTCATTCATCAATGCACACTTGACCTCTAGGTGCAACTCACTGACCTTTTCTGCTTCAGTCATTAATGCCATCCATGCTTTCTCTAAAGTTCCATACTGTGGTCCTGCAAATATCACATGTCAACAGACAAAGGTTCAAGCACTTTTGTGAATTATATTGGTATTTCCTGAAATTCATGTATTCCACACTCAAATTCTATTAAATTTTAGCAAATGCAAAATTATATTTCTATTAAAAATGCAAAAAGACAGAATGATCTTAACAGAAATAACAAGAATGGAATCTGTACAAAAGACAATTCTATTTGGGCCTCTAATTGAGAGGAATCAGCTGATTGGGTCAGTAAGATCAGCTCAGTAGTTATACTTTTTTTTAATCACTTATAACTTGTAAAGTCTTTATTTTGGATTCATATTTTGTAGGTGCAAAAGTGCATAGGTTCACCAAAGGAGGGCCCTGGAGTAATTAATAATGGTTTAATTGAGAGGGATAAGTCATGAAAGGAGAACTCAAGACTGTGTATGCTCCTCCTGGTCTGTGTAGGAAGTCAGGTACAGTTCCAGTCCCAGTCCCAGTACCTGGGACCAGAATGTGTGCTGAACATGTCTCCAACTATAGCTCCTGGAAGCCCATGTTTTGGAGCTGGAACAGCAGCTGGGGACTCTGTGGAGCATGAACGAGGCTGACAGTCAAGATCTTTTCATTAAAGCATAGGGTCTATGTCTTAGCTTGTGAGTTTTCTTTCAGTTTTGCTTTGTTTTGGGCAGGTCTGTTAAACCCTTGGATGAACATTGTTGTATACAACAATGCTTCTGAGAAGAGGAGAGTATACAATATAAATTTAAATTAATTTAGATTAAAGAGTTAGCGATCGTCATAAATCAGAATGTGAGCTTATGTTTCAATAAGAGACCACTTCATTAAAACCAAAATAAAGCACAGTATGATCAAATCCAGGCTTCAGTCTGGGATCTGACTTGTCTAGTAATAACATCAACATCAATCACAGCAACATCTCACCCTCTTTCCATAAGAAACTAGATTTTAAAATCATAAATTGACTTAAAACAATCTGAGAAGCCTTCCAATCTTATGCAGTTGGTGAAATATTCCAATTTCCAATCAGTTAGTGATCAGCATTTTATTCTGGCAAATTTAATCTTGAACTAGAGTAAAGGATTATGGAAAACTGCAAAGTTTCAAATTCCCCAATTACTTGCATTGTTTTGATTGATTCCACATGAATATCACTGAATTTACTAGCATAAGTGAGTTTCAAATAACAAATCTGATCAATAAAATTAATTTAATTGACAAAGCTTTAATTGACAATATAGCCCTCTCAGAAGCTTTAGACATGTGTAATCATAGGGTTTAAAACTCTAACTTTACCTTTCTCTAACAGCTGCTTCCACTTTTTGGCCCATTCTGAGAGTTGTTGTGCATAACCCTTCTCTATCCGAGCACGTTCATGGAGACAAGTCATCAGGTCATTACAGAGTTTATGGCCATCATCGAAGCGCTTTACAGTACGCTTATAATTTCCAACCTATAAATATCAGGGAAAATTGATCAATAGTGTTTGCTACATAGTAAAAAATGCCAGTTAGAAGAAAAATTAAATGAATGTATTAACTTGATGCAGTTAGCAAAGTGTCAGCTTTGGCTCAGTTGTAATACTCTTTTAATCAAAATGGACAGCATGCTCATCATAAACTGTATTAGTGAGTGGGTGCTGTACAGTTGCATACACCATCTGTTGGACGCAATGATAAACCAAGATCACACGCTGATTTGACAGGGGGACATGACAGATCCAATGTTCCCATGTTGAAGTTGTGTAGTAAGGGCATCTTCCTGGTGTTCCACCAATATTTAGCTCTCAAACTCTATCACTAAAATAAAACAGATTATCCTTTTCAAAAAAAGGATATCATTGCTGTTTGTGGAACTTTGCTGCGCTCGAATTAGCTGCTGTTCATTGTAATAGTGCCACAGGATCTCTTTACTCAGAGAGTGGTAGGGGTGTGGAATGCATTGCCAGAGAGAGTAGTGGAGTCGGCCTCATTAGGGGCATTTAAGCTGCTATTAGATAGGCATATGGATGATAGTATAAGGTAGGGGTGGAGGTCAGATAGACCTTAGGTTTAGGGTAAAAGTTCGGCACAACATCGTGGGCTGAAGGGCCTGTACTGTGCTGTACTGTTCTATAGGAGAGGGCAACCAGGTCTTCATTCCATGACTTACCTGAAATCACTGATTGCATTGATAATGTTTCTGAATGTCTACTTTGTTTTAAGGTACATGATTAAAAATAGTTCTGAATCTGGTAAATAATATAATACATGATTACAAAGAAATAAATGGCAGAAATATTATTTCATAAAAACATTGTTTAAAATTCTGGTTTTATTGATAACAAAATATTTACTGATTATAAGGTGAGGAGGGTTAAATTGGCTGCCCTCTTTCTAACACACACACACAGTTTGTGACAACAAATATTTTTATTTCTTTTTAACACCCAGCCTATCAGACTTTAATTAAAACACAGAACTTGTCAAACTAAGGAGCTAATTATAAGATTATCTTGAACAAAATGAAGAGAAAGTTTATTACTAACCTTGAGAAAAATAATGAAAGATGGCATACACAGAGGCAAAATGTTAGTAAGGTAAGAAGGACTCTTTCAGGGAGCTGGTACAGACACAATGCATGGAATGGCCTCCTTCTGTACTGTAAAACTCTGATTCTATACAGACACACAGGATGAATAAATCTAGATAGTTTAAAACTCCTTAGAGTCTGACATCAAGATTTTTAATTGGGAGTTACATCTTAAGGAGTGGTACAGTTTATAGATATCTTTGGAGTTCTCAGCAAATGATTTTTCTTAAAACAGGAGTGAGAGAAAGAGAGTTTTATATTTCCAAGAATCTGGCACTGTTGGCTTCCTCAGCTAGACACTCTTCATCTAAATACGTGCAACTAATCATACAGAATTGAAGCAAAGCAAGAGGCAATGTTAACTTAATTGCCTCATTTCACCATCATTAGATAAAACAGTCACTGCAGTGCAATCATTTCATTTATTCCACATAGGTTTCCAGGACTTGCCTCAATTTGTAGTCAGATGCTAAGTTCAATCGTTTTAAGTCCCTGTTATTTATTTTTTAAGAAGCAAGGAAAGGTTGGAATCTGGAAATTGAGAGTCCACATTTACCATGATAACAAAATGATGTGGTAATGATGGCTAGGTCAGCACTCATTGAACTTCTCTAACTGCCCTTAAGGTGGTGGTAGCAGTGAGCTGCCTTCTTAAAACACTGTAGTCCATGTGATGATGATATATCAACAACAGCTAGCAAGGGAGTTCCAATATTTTGAGCCAGCAACAATGAAGATGATACAGTTCCAAGTGAGGGAGGTGTTTGGAGTGGAGGGAAACTTGCAGGTGGTGTTGCTCCCGTGTTTCTGATGCCCTCGTCCTTATAGGTGGTCGTCGTTGTGAGTTTAGAAGTGCTGTCTGCAAAGCCTTGGTGGTTTTCTGCAGTGCAACTTATAGATGGAACAGTGTGGCCACTGTGTAATTGGTGACAACAGGAGTGGATGCAGCCCCAATCAAGCGATTGCTTTCTCCCGATAGCATCATACCTCTTAAATGCTTTTGCAGCTGCACTGAATCAGGCAAGTTGAAAGCATTCCATTACACGCATGGCTTGAGCCTTGTGACTTGTGGACAGACATCACAAATAGGAGGCAAGTTACTCATCACATAATTCTTTGCCTCTGATCTGAGCTTGTCATCACAGTATTTATATATGATTAGTTTAGTTCCTAGTCAATGGTAACCATTGAGATAGTGGTGGATTCGGCCAAGTTAATGCTCTTGAATGTAAAGGGAAGACGATTAGATTCTTTCTTGTTGAAGATGGTCATTGCCTGTCACTTGAATGACATACATGTTAATTTACACTTACCAGTCACGTCTGGATATTGTCCAGGACTTGCGTGGATAGCCTTAGTATCTGAGGAGTAGCAAATAGTGAACATTGTACAGACATCAGCAGACAACCCTAGTTCCAACCTTACGATGGACGGAAAATCACTGATAAAGCAGTGAAGGATGGTTGGACCATAGACACTACCATGAGGAGCTCATAAAAACCGAAAGAACTGTGGATGCTGTAAATCAGGAACAAAAACGAAGTTGCTGGAAAAGTTCAGCAGGTCTGGCAGCAACTGTGAAGAAAAAATCTGAGTTAACATTTCAGGTCCGGTGACTCTTCCTCAGAGCTGGACGCCTTGGAGCTGAGATATCTGGCCTCTAACAAGACAACTGTCTTCCTACGTGCTACGAATGACCCCAACCAGTAGAGAATTTACCCCGATTCCAATTATTTCCAGTTTTGCCAGGATTCCTTGATGCTGCACTCTTTCAAATGCCTTGATGTCAAGAATAGTCACTCTCACCTCACCTCTGGCATTCAAAGCTTTTATCTATATTTGAACCAAGGTTATAATAAGGTGAGGAGCTGAGTGGCCCTACCGAAACCCAAACTAATATCAGTGAGTGAGTTATTGTTGTAGCAATTACTGCATGGTAGATTTGACAGTGCTATCACTTTACTAACAATAAATAGTAAACTGGAAAGGTAATTGGCTGGGTTGAATTTGTCTGCTTTTTGTGGACAAGACATATTTGGGCAATTTTCCACATTGCCAGACTGATTGCTGTATTGAAACATGCTGGCAGAGGGCATGGCTGAATCCTAGAGCACAAGTCTTCAATACTATTGCCAGAATATTCTCAGGACGTACAGCCTTTACAGAATCCAGTGGTTTTCACCATTTCATTGCAGGCGATATCAAGAAATGAGAAGTGGCTTAAGATGGGCATTTTTGATGTTGGAAACCTCAAGAGGACAAAATGGGCCATCAACACAACACCTCTGATTGAAGACGGATGCAAATGCTTCAGCCTTGTGTTTTATACTGACCTGCTGGGCTCCCCATAATTGAGGATGAGGATACTCATGGAGTCTTCTCTCCTTGCTAGTTGTTTTAATTGTTTGGTACTATTCACACCTCTTTGAGGGAAGACTGCAGAGTTAAGAGCGAAATGGCTTAGCCTGGATTTTTGCAATTACTTCTGCTACTTGCTACAAAATAGTTGTGCATTTCATATGAATCCTATTGATTTGTGTCCAACAATTCCAGTTTTCTGACACATTCTAACGTGATTCCTCAGTTTGACAGAAGGTGTTTTAAATTGACTAATGAGAAAATTATAGTGCTGGACAGAGATGAAGTCCTCAAAAGGACAAGGGCAAAATTCTTCGGTTAAAGCTAAGGTGAAGAAAAGAAAGAGGTGTCATTACACTACTGGGGAAAAAGAAAGAGATGTCATTGCACTGCTGGGTGCATCTATGGGCTAGTGTGTCAATGATGCAAGATATTTTAATCAGCCTGTTGAGAGATGTTATTATAGGGACATGAACCCAGGTTTCCTGGCTTAGCAGTAAGGACACCACCACTGAACTACAAGATCCTTCTCAATGAAGGGAAAGAGGACGGGGAAATTACCTTCAGATGCAAAAACTATACTCGAGTGACAACTGGGAATTATAAACAGCATAAAAGGCCAAGAAAGCAAAGAATGTCTGAATTGTGTTCAAGAGAATTTTCTAGAATGCTTTCACCAGAAGAGGAAAGAGGCATTGCTGCATCTCGCTCTGAGGAACAAAGTGCATCAAGTGGCTGTCAGAAATCACTAAAATAAGAGTGATCATAACAGCTCAAAGTTTAAGTGTTCTGTTGAAAAACACAAGAAGCAATTAAAATAAAAACACTTAATTAAAGGAGGAAAATTTCAGTGGGATGAGAACGAATACTGACCAGGTAAATTTGAATTGAAGTTAGGCAGGCTCAACTCAAGTTGACCATTAGACTTGCCTTTAAAGAGGAAATAGTTCAGGAACAGCTGTGGAACATTTCTGTTAAGGGGGAGAAAGATATTCTCTGACTTTACAGCACAGAATGAGGCCTTTGGCCCATCTTGACCATGCCAGTCAAAAATATCTAACTACGCTAATCCCATTTTCAAGCTATTGGGCCACTGCTCTGGAGGCAACGGTAATGCAAGTGGATATTGAAATATTTCTTAGATGTTATGAGTCATTTTCGACTCAAGCACTCTTTCAGGCAAGAGTTCCAGACTCTCACCACCTGGAGGGTGAAAGAAATTTCTCATCAACTCTCCTCTCGGCCTCTACCACTTACCTTGTATCTATTCAAATTAAATAGTAACTCAAAAGTAAGGCAAAGCAAGACCAGGACTTCCTGAAGAAAGCAAGAGTTAGAAGAGTAAGATTCAGCAGTACAAGCATGAGATGTCATGTTGATAAAATAAGCTAGAATCAACCTGAATACATAAAGTTCAGAAGCAAAGTGAAATAGAAAATAACAGAAACAAAGAGAAAGTATGCAAAGAGACTGATCGCTAATCCAAAAGAGAATCCAAAAGTCTTCATTGGGTATATATATACT